CTCCATCATCACTGCCTGCCACCCTACCTGCCTATCCGCCTGCGTACAGCATCGTTCCTAAGCCAACCCCCTTCAGGCGGATAGAATTCTGTCAGCTTGGTCAGGGTAGTCAGCTGCTGCAGCCCATGATTGGAGACTGCCGTGTCATTCAGCCAGAGTTGCTCAAGGCCAGACAGCCTCCCCACATGCACCATGCCATCACTTGTCACACCCTCGCAATAAGAAAGATATAGCGTTTTGAGAGAGGAGAGGCCTGTCAAGTGCGGCAGGCCAACATCAGTCACCTTGGTCCGTTGGAGATCAAGGCGTTCGAGGCTGGTCAACGACCCAATGCCTTCCAAGGTGCTATCTGAGATATCTGTTTTTTGGAGGTCTAGCTTCTCCAGCCGTGGCAGCCTGTAGAGGTGCTTGAAGCCCTCCGCACTGAAGCCCGAGTTCCACCCCAGCTCAATGCTCTTCAGATGGGTCATGGTGGACATATGGCCGAGCATGGCGTCTGAGATGTGGTGATGCTTCAAGTCCAGATCAAAATTTCCTGATGCTGACTTGATTTTCTGAAAGACATGGAGAACGAGGGAAAGGATTACAGAAGAATGAAAGACATTACGGTGTTAAGGATAGCAGGCAAAGCATGCCCTGAATATATGTACTCAACACTCACCTGCCATGAAGCCCTCTGATCGCCTTTACTCTGCCTTATTTCCAGCTCAACATTCATCTTCAGATCTCGTTTCCTCTGCCATTCCTTCAAGGCTGCCAAGTCCTCCATGACACGTGGCCAGTACAACTCCTGCTCCTCCCTCCTCTCCTCCTCCAGTGCAGACTCAGCTGGCATTTCTTGCCTTCTCTTCCTACTCCTCCCTCTTTCATCCGATCCCCTACTGCTCTCAGCCACTTTCTCCGCCGAATCCCCCTTCACCATTGCCAACTCTTGCTTTACCGCTTCCAACTCCGCCTTCATCACAGCAGCAGTCGCCTCATTCCTTTCCTCCACAGCAGTCAACATTCGCCGCAACTCATTCACCTCCTCCTTGTGTGCTACAACGTCCTCTGTCAGTGCTGCCAGCACCTGCTCTTTGATCACATCGATCACTACCCCCATCACCCTCTCAGCAGCCATGTGTATTTATCAGTCAGATGACAGATTCTTGTGTTCAGCTGCCAACTCCTACACTGCAGCCTGGGACAATCTGAAAGTACAAGGCGCGGGAGAACAAAAGAAGGAAATGAATGTCATATTATGAGCAAGAAATTGGCAGAACTAAGGCTGAAGAGTCGGCTCGGCTGGAGCACGGTGGGCTGCAGTGCAAAAACGTGAGCAAGGAGAAGCGAGATGCAGCGGGACAGGGGAGAGAGGGTGCAGTGGCTAAACCAGGGGAGGGAGTAGGGCAGCAGGAGGAGGGGATAAGCGGCAGCAGCAGGGGAAAGAGGACATAAGCAACAGCAGCGGGGGGGAGGAGAGGATACGGAAATAGAGAAGGATGACATGAACGTACTGAGTGCAAGGAGGTGTGAAGGAATAGGACCGGGATGTACGGCATGTAATAATCAACACAGTCAGCGTAAGGAGATGAGACTGGTGCGAGAAAAGTGGAATTGCTTGGGAGAACGAGAGGACGGCCAGAGCTGAGAACGAGTGCAGACAAAAAGAAAAGGCAGAGCGAAGGGGAAGAAAGGAAACAGAGCAGCATGGATGGCAAGATACGAGGTGAAGATCGGCGCTGAGAGGCAGAGAGTAGAGGGTGAGAGACATGATGCTCGGTGAAACAAGCAATAGGTCTAAGGGTGTACAACGGCTAGAGTGAAGATAAGAATGAAGATAGAAAGAAAAGCATTCCGAATCTGGTGTAAAGTGGATGGATGGAACCTGGAGGTCCGTACGAGTTTGAAGCAGCTTTACATGAAGGACACACACGAGAAAGTCGGACAGACAATGTAACAGCGCACAGCATGTGAGACAACTAGACCATGTGCATGACGATGAGGCTTTGCCGTTGAAGAGAACAGTCAGGAGATGCGAACGAGACAAGGTGCAGTGCACTGATAGAAGGTAGCCTGAACGAAGATGCATACCTTGTAAGATGACCGCAGAACGAAGGAGTGAATGGAATGGAGCACCTCAGGCAGAAAGCGCGTGGTGGCAAGATATCCTGCAGTTCGAAACGGGGAGGAGTTGCAGGGTGCAGAGACGCAGTTATGCGGCTTCGAGAGTGGGGGAACAGGTGGCGAAATTCAACGTCTTCGACTCTTGCATCACATTATGATCCATACGATGTGAATGCTTGGCTGAGATAGGGTGAAGAACAGAAAAGCGATTCTCTAAATAACATAGACTCCGAGTGGCGGGCCGAGCAAGAGGGGAGGGCAAAGAATTAAAGGTTTCGAAGCTGACGACAAGACTGCACTACTAGGGGAAAGGAGATGCAAGTCGAAACTATGGTAGATCCAAGCCACACTAAGAAACAGCAAGATGAGTAAAAGCACAGACATAGGCAGCGCATCGCACTGAGGAAGAAAGTTGAAAAGTGGTAGTACAGCTCAGGGAAGGATGAAAAGGGAGGAGCAGAACTAATGGGAAGAGAAGCACGATTTGTTCAATCTTTGAGTGAGGCAGGAGACGGATCCAGGACGAGGTGCAGCAATGGACGACCACTCAGTTTGGACCGACAGTGCGTACCAGGTGAGTTGTTGAGTAGAGGTGGCAGGTGATCGAGCCAGATGGTAGCAACAAGCTGCCAGTTTGAAACAACTGCAGATCGTGCCAGGAGACAACACTCTTAGCAGTTGCCAGCGCTTCACGGCAGAGAGGACGCAAAGGAAGTTTGTAAGATGATCAACTACAAGTTTGACGACGAAAAGCAGGAAGAGGAGCACACGAGAGAGGACAGGAGGTAAAATTCATGGTACAATATCCATGCAAGCGGCGCTGCGTTAGCCTCGCAATCCCATCCGTCTATTCATCTCACCGTTTGCCTCTCAAATCTCTCCATCCCATCACTTAGCCGATCCCCGCCGTGAGGCACCGCTGTTCCACCAACCAACCCATCATCTCGTGTGCAATGAAGAGCCGCAGCGCGCCAGGCTGCATCACACGTGGGCAACGCATGCATTGAGTTGATCACGAACGCGTTATGAGGCTTTGGGATCATTTGGGGACAATCGCTACTCTAGCCCGCTTTCAGCTCGCTTCACCCTGTCGATCGCAGTGCCTTGAACTTGCATGCTGGATCTCGCACTGAAAACTGAACAAAACATAGACCTAAACGTGGCCTCATCGCGTTGGACAGCCGAAGCGCGTTTGCGCAAAAGGCCACTGCTGGTCGCTCTCGATGGACAGACACGTGGCGGCACAAACGGCTATCGAATGTGCACGGTAAGACCCGTGCTTGCTGGCGCGGATCTAGCTGTTGGCGACGTTTAGCTTAGTTAGTAGTGCCAGCGAGTAGCGGGGAAGATTGTGTGGAGGAAATTGGTGACTAAGGTATTGCGAATGTGAAATGCCCGTCGAGTTCAATCTCTGCTTCTTAGCTGTTACCATCCCAGCCTTCGCAAAACACCGAATCTGCTTGCGAATTGAGCAGTTACAGGAACTTTGTTGAGTCCATGTGACGTTCCCATTTCACCCCGCGCATGTTCCTTGAGCGAGGTACAGCGCCAGTGCCATTTATCCTTCCTCACCCGTTACAAAATTTGCAAACGTATTCGCACTCTGGAAGCGTAATTTTGCTCACGTGACGACATTGTATGGAGCTGATTCTTCGCACTTCGTGCACACAACGTTGAATGAGCTAAATTTTGGTTCCCGTCAACTCCAATTTTGAAACGCAGCACGAGCCACGAGCAGAACCATTTAGCATCTTAGTGTCACTCAACTAATGGCGCATATTCAGCCTTCAAACCCGCGTCGCTGTTAGTCCCAGTCATACGCCGCACTCTATCTTATCTTCTCGTTTCAAAGCCATCTTCTCCGTCGCGTGAGAATCGCATCTCAGATCGTTTGGCGTCTCTGGAACCCGTTGCGCCTAGTAGGCATCATTGCCTTTTCTGGCCGCACGTCGTTTCACTCTGCGAAACCCTAGAAACAGTTCTGAACTTCTGATGTAAGGCTGGTCCCGTCATTCCACTGCTCGCACACTGGTACTGCTCTCATCATCATTTCGCCAATGGTTTCAAGTCCTTTCATGCTCAGCTCTGTGTCTCTCGCCCTTTGCCTCCAAACCATCTCCATTCCACGTTCCCGGAGATTATGGTAGGATTAAGATAAGCTAAGTCGTTTATCCATGAATAAAAGCGCCACTCCTCCGTGCCCGTATTAGGGCAATCTGACGCCAATCCGGGTATTCATATAGAAATGCATTGCTAAGGAAACAATGTCTGTGTGGCCTTGCATCGCTTCAAGCCCTACCATCACACATCCCTATTTTCTCTCCTCATTTGAATCTGCGCCATTGCATCCATGATGCAGTTGTTTCGCGCTATGATTGAAAAGTGCCCTGTTGGCTATTGCTAGAGCTGTGCAGCTGTGCTACCCTGCAACCGTTTTTAAGCTCGCGCCTCAATATTCTGGGTTCGCTGCTTGACTGTAGTCATGAGCAGCGAGAGGCAAGTAATATTTGCCTTTTTACGGTTTGTCTTATCAAGCCAACAGGGTGTAGCAAATATCAGTTGAATTAAGTATTTTCCTGGTTCCGCTCATCCCGTTGCCTTCCTTCCCTCGCGCCAGTTTCAGAATCGGCAATCCTCGCACTGCAGATCGACTGACTCTGCACCACCGCTCTAAGTTGGATCTTACGGTTTCGATTTGTTACGTTTTCGCTTATTTACGACACTTTTTACGTTTACGAACGGTTGCCTGGATTCGGCCTTACGTTTACGGTCACCTGAAAACTTTTTTGGGCTGCCCGAGGGGAAAAAAAAAAGACCAGAACACTAGGGAGACCCATTTTGTAGGCATCATGTCAAGTTTGAAGAAAATGTAATACCCTAGACATAAAATCCAGTTAGAGCCAGCACACCATCTCTACTCCTCCTCCTCCTCCTCCTCCTCCTCCTCCTCCTCCTCCTCCTCCTCCTCCTCCTCCTCCTCCTCCTCTTCCTCCTCCCCTTCCCCCCCCTCCTCTTCCTCCTCCCCTTCCCCCCCCCTCCTCCTCCTCTTCCTCCTCCTCGGCCTCCTCCTCCTCCTCCTCCTCCCCCTCCCCCTCCTCCTCCCCCTCCCCCTCCTCCTCCTCCCCCCCTTCCCCCTCCTCCTCCCCCTCCCCGTCCTCCTCCCCTTCCTCCCCCTTCTCCTGCTCTTCGAAGTATGCCTCGTCGGGGATGTCGTCATCATCAAGCGGTTCATATGAATCCCGCTGCTGCTCCTCAATTTGAATTGACTCATGGCCAGGCTTGAAGAGTCGCTTCTCATGCTCTTCATGCAACTTACACACAGCATTGTAGTTGTGTGTCACATAGACAAGGTCTTCAAGTCGCTTGGGCCCAAGACGGTTCCGCCGGGTGGTGTGGATCGACTCCCAAGTCCCCCAGCTGGTTTCACAAGCCGAGGCGGAAACACATTGCTTGAGAATCTTGCAAGCCAGTTTAGCAAAGTTGGGGCACTGATCCCCATTGAACTCCCACCAATGTGTTGGGTCCAACTTGCCCAACTTCACGAGCTCAAGTTCTGCCAGTGCCTTAGGCTCACCGATGAAGCCTTCTCCTTTCACATAAATCAGCACCTCCTTCTCAACAATGGTCGCCATCGGAAACTTTGTCCCATCACTATCCACCACATATTCCCCCTTGTAGTAGTCCCGAATGAATTGCTTGAAGATTCTAGAGCACTCGCTATCGCTGCAAAGATCTTCTCATATTGATTTGGCGGATACAAAATGCGACCCGCCACGTGTAAGGCGCAGTTGATGTTCTTGTTCCAACGCCGACGCACGGCTCCCAAAATCCGCTTGCTCTCCTTAGACCGTAGGCAGCTGCATGCCCCCTTCATCGACTCCTCTAAATCCAGCATCATATCATAAATCTTCCCCATAATCTCCTGGTTCCCGTCGACTGCTCTCAAGAGAGTGTAAATCGGCTTCATGACACACACGACCCTCTCCACGCCCTCCCAAAAACTGTCATCCCTTATCACGGTGCGTGCCTTAACCATCCGCTTCTTCCCATGCGCATTTGCTGTCCATCCTGGGGTCAGCACCATTTGGTCAAGAACACGACGCACATCTAGCAGACGCTGCAGCGCAATGTAATTGGTTCCGAATCGAGTGCCTGCGGGCTTGAGTAGCACAAGAGAATTCTGCTCACGAAAGTAACCCGTGATCCAATTTGAGTTCTTCAAAGTCGAAATGAGATCCTGCGCCTTGGTAATGAACTTGGCAGCCCATTTGCGGCCTCCAATGTCTTTCATCAAGTTGTTGAGAGAGTGAGCCGCGCATCGGATGTACTGCACCTTTGGAAACTCAGCCTTGACAATGTTGGCCGCACTGATATTGTTGCTTGCGCCGTCCATTAGCAGCCCCACCACATTCTCAGCTCCAACCATTCCGATGGCTCTCTTTAGGTGCGTCGCAATGTATTCGCCGCTTTTCTTCTTTGTACCGCAATCAACGCCGAACAAGAAGACAGACCCCTTAGTGTTCACGGCGAGGAAATTCATCTGCGGGCGGTTTGAAGAATCTGTCCATCCGTCAGTTGCTATGCTCACGCCCATATCGCTCCACGAAGCTTTGATCGGTTTCAGTGCGTCATCCGTGCTATCCTTGCAATCTTGCAAGAGGCGGCCCATAATAAGCTTCCGACTAGGAGGCGGAAATCCAGGACCAACTGCAGCCACTTTCCTCAACATACTCTTGAAAGCGGAATGCTCGGCCACATTTGAAGGGATGCGGCACACGTGGAAAAACGTAGCAACCGCCAGCTGTCCGCTTGCGAGACTTGCAGCTGCGGGGCGACAATCGAACAACGTCTTCTGATTTGCTGCACGCTTGCTGCTATGTGTAATAGCGCCGCTACTACTAGGAACGGATCCACTTGTCTCCTTCATAAACACGTCCATCGTGCGCTTTGAGGCAATCCGCTTCGCTTCCTGCGCACTAGCCTTGGCGGATGCTGCTTTGCGCACTTCAGCAATCACCTCCTCTGGTGCCTTTTTGCATGCTTTGATGTCTTTGCTATTACCAAGGATATGCGCCTGCGCACGAGTAACGTTTAGAACCCACTTCTTCTTGCAAAACTTGCATGCCTTTTCCGTCGAATCTGATGGAGCCCCTACGGGTACTACAAAATGCTTCCAAACTGGGTGCTCATCACTAGCAGAATCCATGGCTTAAGAGTATGTTGACGAGAGTTGAACGTGAATGAATGACTATGAAATGAAGTGGGTACAAATATGAAACCCTAATTGGGTTGTACCCCCTATGGGATACCCCACTATAGCCTACAGAAATGAGTAAGCTACAATGTTCTGACACACCCCCATAGGCAAAGTGGGGGAGAACAAGGGGTCACAAGACCAGTCAAGCAAAGCAAAGCAAAGCTCAGGGTGGATCACAAAGTCACCACACAATCCGAGCACAACTTCAAGGGCCACAAGGCCAGTTCACATGCAAGATCATATATAAAGATATACAAGAGTCAAACGAGCAAGAGCAAGAGTATATATAGCAGAAGGTACAAGCAAAGTCAAGAAGTGAGCAAGTGAGGCAGGACAGGCACAAGACCCAGCTGCGTGCAACAACGCTGATGATCACAAGGCGCAAGTGCCTTGGTGAAGACATCAGCAGTGTTGGCCTCAGAGGCCACGTACGCAAGTCGCAACTGTCCACGCTGCTGTAGCTCACGAGCAAGAAAGTAGCGGAGAGCAATGTGCTTTGTCCTGTGCTCCAGTCGCTGCTCTCGACACAAGGCCAGCATAGCCTTGTTGTCTACGTACAGGACTGGAGGAGAACGAGGCTGCTCTCCAAGGTCGGTCAGCAGGTAGGTGAGCCAGCGTAACTCCTGTGCAGCCATAGCCCCAGCGTAGATCTCAGCCTCACAACTGGAGCCGAGAACAGAAGACGAGCGGGTAGCCCGCCACGAAACAGAGCCGGAACCAAGGCTGAAGGTGTAACCCTGTGACGACCGCTGCGTAGCCTGGTCGTCAGCCCAAGAAGCGTCAGCGTGCCTAGTGAGGACCACTGGACTGCGCCCTCCAAGCACTAGCCCCATGCGCGACGAACTGCACAAGTAGCGCAACACCCTCTCCGCTGCACCCATGTGCTCTGGTCGGTGTCTCCCAGGAGCAACATAGCGTGCGAGAATGCTAAGAGGGTATGCAAGGTCAGGTCGTGTGCAGGTCATCAGGTACATGAGGCAGCCAACAAGCTCTGCATATGGGCCACTCGACTCTACGGACTCATCCGAAGGCAGAGCTGAGAGCGAGTGGCGAGTAGGCAGAGGAGTGGCCTGAGGCGAGGAGTACGTGAAGCCGAAGCGCTGAAGGACCTGCTGCACCATGTGTGACTGAGTCAGGGTAATGGTGCGGCGTGCTCTGTCCCGGGTGATCTGCAAGCCAAGGTAGCTACGCAGTTCACCCAAGTCAGTGCACGTGTGTCTCTTCTGCAGCTCGGACTTCACGTAGGCGAGTCCAGCAGTGTCAGTTGTGGCCAAAACCAAGTCATCGACGTACACGAGGATGTAGAACGGCGGCAGAGAGGTGTCGGTGCGCAGAAACAGCGACGGGTCGGCAGTAGAAGGAGCAAACCCAAGTGCCGCCAGCGTAGTCCTCAGTGTGTCGTGCCACTCACGTGGCGCCTGGCGGAGACCGTAGACTGGACGCCGGAGACTCCACTGGGTACCAGGAGGGAAAGACCCAGTGAAGCCAGGTGGGCGACGCAACCAGATCTCCTCGTGCAGGCTGCCCTGCAAGAAGGCGGTGCTGAAGTCGAGAGAGTGTAGCTCGTAGTCACGGTGAGCAGCAACGTGCAGCAGAACCCGAAGAGTGGTCATCTTCGGGGTGGGGGAGAAGGTCTGAAAGTAGTCAACCCCCTGCCGCTGACTGAAGCCACGAGCCACGTAACGCGCCTTGAAGACAGGCGGAGAACCCGGCGGCCGCTTCACCCTGAAAATCCACATGCCACTGACGATGTTCGCCCCAAGAGGGGGAACAGCGTCGACGTAGGTGCCTGTGGACTTCCAGGAAGCCATCTCTGCATCCATAGCTGCCTGCCACTGAGAGGAGTAGGGACCCTCTATCGCCTCCGCGTAAGAGCGCGGAGTCGGGATGTCTGGTGCATCCGGGTCTCCCTCAGGGGCTAGCAGTACAGACGCGAGATGAGGTGAAGCGGCGGCCAGACACTGGAACTCCTCCTGCCTGTCCTCAAGGACGTCCGTGCCAAGGGCACACTCACCCCCGACGGACGGAGGACAGGCAGACTCAGACTCAGCGACAAGACTGGCAGCGTAGTCTAGACGACAGCGCGCAGCAAAGTCGACAAGCTCAGTGACAAGGGCAGACGCAGCAGACGACTCGAAGGAAGGGTCAGTGACAGCAGTAGCAAGGAGACGCGTGACAGTAGGACTGGCAGCACGAAGAGAGTCCGACTCCGGGTCGGCAAGAGCAGGAAGAGAGGAAGCGGGAGGAGAAGGCAAAGGGGTACGCAGAGGAGCAGTGGACGGACGCAGTGACATCCGGTGCGTGCCAGGGACAGGAGGAGGACGCTGACGCGACCCGCGACCACTAGCGCGCGCAGTACGAACAGGCGACGCAGGACGAGACGCAGGCTCACGACGCTCAGTAAGACCTCCAGTCGGACCAGCGTAGGGAGAAGGAGCAGGCAAAGGGGAGGCAGGCTGTAGCTGTGGCTGTGACTGGACAGGCTGTGGACCCTCTAAGGGAGGAGGAGGAGGACCAGGAGAAGGTGGAAGACCAAGAACCTGCTGCAGGAGTGGAACGAAGTACGGTCGGGGCCGCGCGGCGACGCCAGAAACAGCAGGGACAGCACCAGTACCCCCAGCAGGAGTACCCGCTCCAGTAGCACTTCCAGCAGCACCTCCAGTAGCTGCAGAACCTCCAGCAGCACCACCAGGAGCACTGCCAGGCGGACCGCCAGCGGCAGTCTCAGCGCCAACACCCTCAGCAGCACCAGCTCCAGGAGAACCCTCAGACCCAGCAGCTCCAGTCCCCACAGTACGAGCACCTCCGGGACGCTCGGCAGCAGTACCCTCTGCAGCCGAAGAACCTCCAGCACCAGCAGTACGCCTCCAGCGCCTGGCAAACCACTCACGCAGCTCCTGTGGGGAGAGTGGCTCTCGGCGAGATGAAGCACCTCCAGGCAGAGCACCCCCAGTCTCAGCACCCCCAGGCACAGCACCCCCAGGCACAGCACCCCCAGGCTCAGCACCCCCAGGCTCAGCACCCCCAGGCTCAGCACCCCAAGACTCCACACCCCCAGGCTCAGCACCCTCAGCCGTAGCACCTCCAGTCTCAGCGACGACAGGCTCAGCTCCCGCAGCAGCACCAGAGTCACCAGTGACCTCGACAGGCTCGACCGCGTCTACCTGGGACACACCTGAAGGGGCAGGACCCTGAGGGGGGAGGGGGTCTACCGGGGGGGGACCTGGTACCAAGAAGAGCGGGGGCGGGGGGAGGGACGGAGTGCGGTAGGGGAAGAGGCGGTAGTAGGGTACCGACTCGTCGAACGTGACGTCCTGGGAGGACAGAACACGTCGAGAGGTGGGGTGGTAGAACTGCCACCCAGGGGCGTCGGGGGGGAACCCCAGGAAGACGCAGGGAGCAGCGCGAGGGGACAGCTTGTCCGCAGACAAGTCGCGGACAAACGCCCGAGATCCCCAGACCCGGAACGCCGACGCATCGCCAACCTTCCCCGTCCACAGCAGGGCTGGGGAGGTCTCCGGCCTGGAGACCCTGGGGTGGAGGTTGATCTGATGCGCGGCGTACGTGACCGCAAACGGCCACAGAAAATGGGGGGTAGCCGCATGCATCATGGACGTACGGGCGACGTCCATGACCATGCCAATGCGGCGCTCAGCAATCCCATTTTGCTGCGGGGAGTCCGGAAGCGTGAAGGACTGGCGGATGCCTCGCGCACGACAGTAGGCACGCAGAAGGCCAGAGGAGAACTCTCCGCCTCTGTCCGAGTGCAGACGCAACACAGGAAAGTCGGAGCCAAAGCTCTGCCTGAGCTGAAGACGAGCTGCGCGGATCCAGTCGATCAGCACCTCAGTGACCTCACCCTTGCTGCGCAAGGGGAAGACTGTGGTGTAACGCGAGTAGTCGTCAACAACGAGCAGGAAGTAGCGCTCCTGACCCTGTCCACGGAGGCGGGCAGGGCCCCACACGTCCATGTGAAGTGTCTGCAACGGAGCCTCTGTCGGAGGAAACTGAGAGGAGTGAGGGGCAGCACGCTGGCGCCCCTCGACACAGGGGACACAGGCAGGGCCAGGGCCCTGAGGAAGGGGAGGTAGAGACCGGGGGAGACCAGACACAAGAAGACGGGAGGCCATGCCTCT